GATTGGCCCCCTGTTGCTTGGTACCTTGTAGGGGTCTTGGTACTGAGGTCGCCTTGCCCTCCTGGTACCCCCTTAGCTCCATACTTAGCCAATTTTTATATCTTTTGGTATCAAGCCTACCTTGTCGGCTTGATACCCCTTTTGCTTCATACTTAGCCAAATTATATGTCAAAGTACCAAACCATGCTTTGCCGGCTTGATACCCCGTCGTTGACATCCGGTCATTTGGCACCTTGTTGTGTCACCTTGTTTCCAAGACTTAGTTTTTGGATGACCTCCTATCTGGTACCCGGCTGTTTGGCACCCCGGCTTGGTACCCGGCCGTTTGGCACCCCGTTGTGTCGCCTTGTTTCCCATACTTAACCTTTGGATGGCCTCCTATTTGGTATTCGGCTTGGTACCCGGCCGTTTGGCACCCCGTTGTGTCGCCTTGTTTTCCATACTTAGTTTTTGTATGCCAAATTTCATACTAAGGGGTGGAGGCATCATCCGGCTATAGGGCCTCGGAGACGGGTTGATCATCATATAGAGGAGAAGGGGGTTGGCCACTAAGGCCCAAAAATCCAACCCAACTAGGCCCAGCTGGCTCTTTTAATCATTAATGTTGAGCTGGCCTTATAAATCCATTAATCCCCTTGTAATTAATCGATGTGGTACAAGCTGATTTTTTTATGGGTAAACAAATGCCCCCCCTCCCCCCACAACTTAGTGTATAAGAATTATGCACTAAGTTGTTGAACTCAACTTGACTACCTAAAAATAATACTTATCTCGGCACCACCTTCCTTAGCCAAATTTTGGCTTTGATTATAAAGCCATGCAACCATAGCCTTTTATAGAATGCTAGGCCCGACAAAAGGAAGTAAAACTTAACTAGCTCAATTTCCTTTCCATGTCATGGCTAGCTACTCAAGCCATGCTTTATCACGAGGGTATCATGCCATGTCTTAGGGTGTGGGAGGCTTGGCATGCAGGCCACCATGGTGGCCGACTAACATTGAACCCCTTGACACCTCACGTCCCAAAGAGAAGGGACATAAGGCTTGAGATACTTGCCATTGATTAATCGATCATGTAGCATCCCATCCTCTTATGACAAGAAGGCCTCTTTGGACGGGTGGCCTGGACAATAAAGGATCTACACCAACAGCGAATCACCTGCTCATGCCATGTAAATGGATGGATCCAGCCACCACATGAGTGTGGCTTATCAGTTATGACCAGGTTCTCACATCACAAATCTAACTAAAACTTGACACTTTGACCTCGTATTTTTTAGCCATGATTGGCTTTTGATTTTTCTTTTCTCTTCTTTTTTAATAATATTTTATTTATTTATTTATTTTAATATAGAAGAGAGTGACAAACGTCACTAATATCCATGCCCATTGGCACCCACCAACGTGCCAAAGGTGTACAGCCACTGCCAAGTCCATGGGTTAAACCAGACCAACCATCCATACACTACTTGTCTTCCCTCCGTTAGGGGAAACAACTCATTCGGTGTTGGTTCCAAATTTTCCAACTTAACAATGGATGGCACCCTCTCAACTTGCCCTGTCTTAGTGGGCTTGCAAGGGGTCCCATGATCCACCGCCTTGGCCACCTTACTAGACATGTTGGGTTGATGTTGAACCCGATGTGTTTGTCTCGTCCTAGGTGGTGCACTAGACATTTTCAACTCCTTCGACTCATCAAAGGGGCCAAGAGTTGTCATCTGTCTTATTTTACCCCAACTAGGCACATGCTTACTCTTCCCATATGGTTGAGAAGACGGGTGTTTGGACTTACAGAGTTGACGACCACCCTTGTGGCCAACTTGACTCTTAAAACCCATGTCTTCATGGTTTTTACACTTAACACATAACAACCCTTGATTCTTTATAGGACCATGATTGGTTGGTGTGTGTCGAGATGTCTTATTCATACCTTCTTGTTTGCCATTCATGTTTGGCATGCAATGTGGGGCTTTAGGCATGGACTTGCTTCCTCGTCCATCCCTTAACGCCATCTCATACTTAAGAAATTTTTTTAGTGGGTTGGGTGTAATGAACACTCCTAGACTTGTTCTCCACTCATTTCTTCACTATCGGTGACATGCCCCCCTTTCCACTGGTTGGAGACATGCCCCCCATAGCCTTGTTCATGGTTTTTGACGTGCCCCCTTTGCCAAACTCAACTTCACTAATATTCTTATTACAAGCAATTGTGGCTTGGGTTTGTTGTGGCTTCTTGGGCATGTGTATCTTTCTATTGTTTGTGGTTGATGATATGCCCCATTGTCGACCCTTCATGAGTGGCATGCTACAAGGGGCCTTGCCTCCTTGTGCACTCTTTGACACGATGTCAAAGTTATGAAAATCATTGGTGGTATGGGTATCCAACACCTGCTTAGACTTGCCACTCTCTCCATTCATCATGTTTGATGGCATGACCCCCTGTCCGCTGCATGGAGATAGAGACATGCCATTCTTGCCACACTTAGATGAAAAATGTGGTGAGTCCTTAAACAAAGTTCTTTTTCCATTTTCCTTGACGTCAACGTGCCCCCCCAACCTGATATTTCACCTTCAACTTGTCAGGTGGTAGGCTTTCACACCCCTCTGCCTGCCCCCCTCGCGGTTTGCATCCACCATGCTTGATGGGCGTGGATAGCAGTGGTGCTGGACAAGCTTGTGGGAACACATTTGTAGTGAGTGACCCTGCACCAACTTTCACATTAAGGCATGGTCTAGCCTCTGAGGCAGTTTCTAAAGTAATTGTTTGTATAGGCAATTTCTTTACGTGAGTGGTGAACGTGGGAGCGAGATTCTCGCCACAACCACCATGTTGAAGAGGTAGTTGACTTGTCACCGGAGACGATGAGTTCTCTGACCGTGGCTGAGTAGTCCGGCCACCGGAGTCTAGAATTCTCGTATCCCCGGTAGCAACGTTTGATGGTCAATCTACACCATCTTTTGCCAAAACATTTGATCTCAAAACTGGTTTCATAAAAAGTTGGAGAAACTTCTTACAATTATTTTCATTTATCTTTCAAATCTCATCCAGTTGATCCAAACGTAGATTTAGACGAGTATGGAAACAATCAAATTGAGATACAATTTGTTTTGTGTATCCCACCATAGCCTCCTCCATTAATTGCATTTCTACAACCAGTGACTGGTGGAGAGACAAAGTGGTGGTGGTTACACCCAAACATGGCGCCGAAGAAGGCAGACCACTTGCCCCACCATTGTTTCCGCCGTCACTTTTTGCTAATTGGCCAAGATCATACCTAGCCACTAGCTCTTTTATAAATCCAGGTGAAAGATCACCTTCTTGTTCTCTCAGTCGTGGAGCCATCAAATCAAACACAGAGTGTCCCACTAGGTGTGCCAATTTGTTTTCCGATGAGAAAAACTTGTGTTTGAACACAATGAATGCACCTTGACTTCTTGAACAACGGCAATCAACACGGTTCACACCTCTCCGAACAATGTTCGAATGAGGGTGTTAGATGTTTTTGATGGTATTTTTGGGAACAAACTAAGTTAATTAAACCTACTCCTATGGAGGTTCAGTGAGAGCTCCGAAAACTAAGGCTAGGGCTAATTTGCAGAGAAAGGATAAAAGTTTGACATAGTGTGTCGAATGGTTGGTTGTGGAACCCTTTTCCCGTCTTCGTTTCTCCTATTTATAGCCACTGGGTGTAAATGCCTTGGTAACAGCCGTAGTAACTGCTAGCTGGACTTTTGCTCCAACTGCCTTAGGGGCCGCTTGTCGCTGCCTTGGTGACTAGTTGGTAACCGTTGGCTTGGGGGCCTCGTCTCGTCTTGGGGCTGGTTGGTACTTGATGGTCGCGATGTTGGGCCGGGTTGGTGTTAAGCCTTGTCGCCCTTTCATGGTTGGATGGGGGGTTGAGGTTATTTGCCTTAGCCTCCATGATGAAGTCTCGGCTGCTTGATGACTTCCCACTCTTGTCGTATTGAGACCGCTACCATCTCATGACACCAAGTCCTCCTCATTAACTTGTTTGTTGTTTGGTCTCCATACTTAGTTTTTGTAGCCTCGTCAAGTGGTAAGTTGCACCCTGCCGGTTTGGTACCCCGTGAAGGTGCTATCAAGCGCGTCTTTGGACTTTGTCTCCATATGGCCTCATAAGGGCTGAGCTCAGCATCCTGGTCGATCCATCCATAGTTGGGTGGCCACCTCAGCTAGTTAACATGCCTTAGTTTAATTTCTTGTCTTGTTGGCTTGATACCCTGATGTCTGGCTATCAAGTCCGTCTTGTTGGCTTGATATCTAGACTTGGTTTATGTATGACTCTCTTAGTTGGTACCTGGATTGGCCCCCTGTTGCTTGGTACCTTGTAGGGGTCTTGGTACCGAGGTCGCCTTGCCCGCCTGGTACCCCCTTAGCTCCATACTTAGCCAATTTTTATATCTTTTGGTATCAAGCCTACCTATCAAGCCTACCTTGTCGGCTTGATACCCCTTTTGCTTCATACTTAGCCAAATTATATCTCAAAGTACCAAGCCCTGCTTTTCCGGCTTGATACCCCGTCGTTGACATCCGGTCATTTGGCACCATGTTGTGTCACCTTGTTTCCAAGACTTAGTTTTTGGATGACCTCCTATTTGGTACCCGGCTGTTTGGCACCCCGTTGTGTCGCCTTGTTTCCAAGACTTAGCTTTTGGATGGCCTCCTATTTGGTACCCGGCTTGGTACCCAGCCGTTTGGCACCCCGTTGTGTCGCCTTGTTTCCCATACTTGCCGTTTGGCACCCCGTTGTGTCGCCTTGTTTTCCATACTTAGTTTTTGTAGGCCAAATTTCATACTAAGAGGTGGAGGCATCGTCCGGCTATAGGGCCTCGGAGACGGGTTGGCCATCATATAGAGGAGAAGGGGGTTGGCCACTTAGGCCCAAAAATCCAACCTAATTAGGCTCAGCTGGCTCTTTTAATCATTATGGTTGAGCTGACCTTATAAATCCATTAATCCCCTTGTAATTAATCGATGTAATACAAACTGATTTTTTTATGGGTAAACATCCCCACACATTTCGATGGTAATTTTGCAGAGAGACAACTCTTGAAAGATTCTTCCTACTCCTGGGCTGGAATGGACCGTATCAATTTCATTAAAATAAAATTAAACCTGACAGTATGAGAATGTACAGTTTAGGAAGTACAAGGACCAAAGTCCGAATTATCCCAAAATCTAGTGACCAACTTGTGACCCCCAAACGTTTTTAAACATCCAGAAGCCACATCTATTTATTTATGTATAAAAAAAAAACCCTACAGGGCATATGGTTGCAGCAGAGTCAAGAACTGAAATAATGGCCACTGGTTTGAGAAACATCGTACTATCCATTGTTACATTGTTGGCTTCCTTGTTATTAATCCACTCTTCCGGCTTCCAATCCACTCATCCGCCACCACCAAGTCCTCCTCATCGTAAGCAGCAGCTTCTTCTCGTTTCCAGTTCTTTTCAGCTTTTCTTATGAGCAAACACAAGCTCCTAATCATCTCCTCTGCTCCAGCTTCACGCTTCCTTTTCGATCTCGTGGCATTTTGAACCCAGATTGATTACTTGTAGTTTCTGAATTTTGTCGCGGCTTTGCTGTTAGGGCCCTTACCGCTGGGGCGTTATATACCTCGGCACAGCACATCAAGACCAGCAAGCCATGGATGATAAGAGTTGCAGACATGGTATACTTATGAGTTCTAAGCTGATATGATAACATCCAAATGCCTTGTTATTTTTTTTTCATACATTACCAGAATCATCAGTTTTGTTGCGAAAAATCCATTTTGTTCCAATCACAGGAACATCTGCAGGTTTAGCCACCAATTCCCAAACATTTTTAAGTCTATAATATTGAACTAGTTCTTCTTGTACAGCATCAGTCCATTCTTCATCAAGCAAGGCTTTATTATGATTCTTAGGTTCAATTCTAGAGACAAATGCGTAATGATTCGGAGTATGCTTATCTATCTCGTGTTTGAATTTTATTATCAGATAGCTTACCAATGATCTGCTCAAATGGATGTCATTTCCGGATATGTGCATGAGCAGTGATCATTGAGGGACTGGAGGATTGATGATATGCAGAGGATTGTGTCACACCAGAACTGGATGCAGAGGACGGAATTGAAGACAGAAGATATTGGGGACGAACAAATGTAGATTCTTTCCACACGTTTTGTTTTGAGATTCCATGCCCTATATGTTTGGCCTTCGGCAGAATATCCAAGGATAATGTACAATTTAGAAAGTTAAAAGGACCAAAGTCAGAATTATCTCAAGATATAAGGATCAACTTGTGACCTCATGATGCACGATTGAATCTTTTCCAACAACTCGAGTTATTGGGAGCAACTGGTTCATGACATGGTATCAGAGCTACCAGTTGATCCCAATAACACAAGTTGTTGGGACCAATTGGTTTTTGACATGGTATCAAAGTTTTATATGACCGAGAGGTCTTGTATTCGAATCCCCACAACCCCCATTTATTAATCACATGGTATTCTTGTCTTCAGACCTGTGCAAACTTCAAGCCCTTGTTAGTGACTTTCGTATGAAGGGGCGTATTAGTGTATTATACGATCCACGATTGAACGTTTCCAAACAACTCGAGTTATTGGAAGCAAGTGGTTCATGACAGTTTTTAAAACATCCCTGGATCCACGACGATTTATAAATAAATAAACAAAACTATGGGGTTTGGTTACAGCAAGCAAAATCAAAGATAAGAAATAATGGCCACTGGTTTGAGGAACATCGTACTATTCATTGTTACAGTGCTGGCTGCCCTGTTATTTCAATCTTCCGGATTCCAATCCACTCATCCCCCACCAACTTCTCCTGATCGTAAGCAGCTTCTTCTCGTTTCCAGTTCCTCTATTTGTATGTTTCTGCTCACTTCTTCTTATGAGCAACACAAGCTCCTAATCATCTCCTCTCCAGTGCTACGCGCTTCAACTTTAATGTCGTAGTATTTCAACCCAGATTGATGGGTTAGATTCTGAATTGTGTCGTGGCTTTGCTGTTAGGGATCTTACTGCTGGAGGTTTATCTGCCTCGGCCGAGCAAATCAAGACCAGGAAGCCATGGATGATAAGAGTTGCAGACATGGTATCCTCAATTCAAGTTCATTTCCAGTTCAGTTACTCTACCTCAATTTCCAGATGGGTTACTGCCACAACTACTTCCAAGAGAATTCAAATAAGCTGGATAGTGATCAAACAGTTCGAAAAACAATTACATAGGCAGAGTGCATATATTTACATACCTGAAATTGGTGATATGATAACATCCAAAGGCTGAGCAAAACATGAGATATCTTTCATCTTCTTGATATGGATCAGCTTGTCATACACACACCAGGGGACTTGACACAGCTGGTGTGCAGGACAGTGTCTTTCACTTCTCGAAAAAGCTTCCCAATGACGTTGTGGGATTGGTAAGTGGGTTTGTCTGGCTTTTCCATAAAGTCCGGATACTCTTTGACATGGAGATGAGGAGGTATCACGGCTGGAACTCCGGTTTTGTTGAAGTTGACAGCAAATGAAAACTGATGTGCTAGCTCTACCCATGGTTCGCTCATGGCTTTCAGAGGTTCCTTATCAGCAAAGACAGTGTGAGCATTCGCAATGATTGCTGTCATTCACGATGTAATTGCTTAAATACTCAACTTCCTACAACAATAGAAAGCATGTCATTTCAGGGCTAAATACAAATCTTTTGGTCAGACTCTACCAAATAGTTATTCTCTCTAAGGTGCAATTTAGGTACATGCAAAAAGAGACTTACCTGGATCCTTTTTGAGGTAAAAGCAACACAATACACCATATGCTGCAATGCAGGCACATCGACAGCCCTTAACACAGGCACATCACTTGCGTGCAAGCATGGATTTTTAGCCACCACTATGTGGCCCTTGGCACAAAATGTTTGGCTAGACCGCTTGAGCTAAACTGCCCGTTTCCCACAGTCCGAAAACTGCACAAAGACCTGACTATACCCCAAGGTTCTTGTTTTGTCAAGATATTCCATCATTGATCTTGCTTTCAGAAGAAACACACTTGTTTTTGTTCGTAAATCAAGCAACTTAGATTCCCTGAAAGTTTGGAGCATCATGGAAATAGAAGGTTCGTTGTCAGGCTTATAACCACACAATAGCATTTCCTTCAGAACGCTGGGCGTATCTCCAAAACGCATCAACTCCAAAGCCTCCAATGCTGCTGATGGGTCAGTTAAGATTGCATTAAGTTTATTTACAGCTTATTTCTGCTTCTTTTCAAAAATATGATCTGGAACACGGAGAGTGGAGAAGAGAGTGATAATTTGGCAATTCATGAAACCAGGCTGGTACTTGCTGTAAGCAAGCACATCCAGCTTTGTGTTCTCAGACTCGTACTTGCACCTGCTGTTTCTCAAGGACAATTTCTTAGTTAAAGTTGGATCCACTGCTACAACACCTTTATATCCACCATATCGAATCTGAAATGCTGATGAGACAGAACCTTTGCAAGATCTCCATTTTGCTGCAACTTGCTTGGCAAATTGCACAGAAATCTTCCCTATTCCATCTGAAAAGACAAATTTAGTTTTCCTACTCTTCAGCTCAACGTCAGGAATAATTTCAACTTATATGCTCTAACTCTAAGCGTTTCGGTCGATGGACTGAAAAACTGACCCAATCTGGCGGCATATTTAGCCACATTTTGTATCTGAAGAAAATTGCCCACCCGTTCTCTTTAACCATCAGCAGTTAGGCTGGATCTAGAAGCAAACATCCAGCAAGAGTTCTCCCGCAGCTGCTGGTTGAGAAAGCAAGGAACTCAAATTTCTTACTGCCAACAACTACACCATTGCGCAAAGTATAAAGAGCACCTTTCTTAGTATCATTTGCAGATGATCCATGTGGAGCCAAGTCTGTAAAGTAAATGTCATCCAACTCTTCGTCGATAAAAGTAACACGAATGAAGTTCTCTATATCCACTGGAAAATGACGTAGCACACGGTTTGAGACGTTGACCTCAAGACCAGCAAAGTAGATTTTGCAGGGATTTATCTGGAGCATGTGTGTATATATACCAATCCATCGTCCAACGATATGGCTGGTAACCTTGGAAAGTTCCGAGATGAACGATGCTTTGTGTACTGCTCTTGAAGCCACCTTGAAGGTTCATAGCAGCATTCCTTCAAATAATAGAGTTTCTCAGGCATGCTCTATCCAGACAATTAGTACTCTTAGAGGATCCACCAACTTGTAGAAATCAACATCAAGTGTTGGCCTGGGGAGGCATCCATTCTGAACAAGTGAATTGACTTTGAACAAAATCTGAAAAGGTAAATCAAGCTCTATGGGAGGACCAACTATCGGTACAAGGCTCAAATTCTGTGAAAGGGAATACCATTTTCTATGACAAACTCCCCTTCGCTACTTTTATAGTTTGCAAAGTTCATTGCCAGATCCGGAAGCCTAAAATCACCGTGGAACCTCCAAGCACAGGGAAGAGGCATGTCCAATGCAGCAAGATGGTCGGAAGTCAGTTGTCCTAACCCATTGATCATCAGAGCTGTCCTTAGAGGGATTTCAAAGAGGACCATCATAGGTGTTATATGTCATACGCACATCGTTATGAAATATCTGAGGTGTGCCAAACAGCTACAAAGATAGGAAAAAGTATGCACATGCAAGTTAAGAATTCCAAATCCCATGACTCAACTTGTACATAAGTTACAAACTGATGACCTCTGATTTTGAAACACAGAACATAACTCAAAATGTAACAGTAATAAGACATGATCTACTGTTAATGATTATCAAGGCATGGAAAGCAATATTGGAGTAATAACAGCATCCTATAACAAACAGTATACTGGGCAATAAACATACAGTAGTAGATCAATAAATAAAACAAGCACCAGTATCATTAATCCAGTCCATGTGAATGAAACACAGCAAACTAAAATGAATGTAGCATTCATGCAGTAATCAGAGAAGCTGCACCAGCACTCAGAGAAAACGATAAAAATAATTTATATAGAATAGCAATAGATCAAGTTCAGGAGGAACCTGAAACATAAGATAATTCCCGGATTGGCCTTGTGGACAATGTAGCTCAATCTGCCAAATGTTCTCATACAAGAGGTCAGGCTTGTATTCAGTTCCATGGTGAGAAAGGTAGAAATGCAATTTCCTCGTCCCATGGCCAAATTTCGTCGAAACATCAGTTGCTTGCCAGAGGTCGGAGAACTTCTCAGTCGATATTAGGCATCAAAAGTGCAGCACTACACCTTGATCCATGGCTCGCATTTGTAGATATGAATTACTATAATAAAGTTGTCTGGTTTTGGATATAATGTATTCACCATTTCAATTGTGGTGAATTGAACTCTAGCATATGATCTTAGAGAATTCTTCGGCTTCCCCATAGCAAATGTCTTAATGATACCTTCACCAGTATGCTTTTCGAGCCAACACTTAGCAACATCAGCAGTAACACCATAAGGGAATCCAAAGACTTGCACTTTCTTCCCCATTGCCAAACCCTAGCTTGTGCTCTCAAATTTGCACGGAGTGGAGCTGTCTGCTGAAAACACACCAAGTTAAAAACAAAACAAAATTTGAGGAAACCCCCTTTTCTTTTAGCAGTAGGCATGATCAACAACATTCACATCAGTTAACATCACTTTCTATACATCTCATTAGCTGACAAAGGGATTTCAACATCAGTGAACTTCCCATCCCTTGTCGAAAGTGAAGTCCACTTGCCATTGATGAGAAAGAAGCTTCTTGTATAGTTGTATTGAAGAAGTGTAAACTTGAAAGTTGAAACAACACAAACCTAAAAACAAGTGGGAGGGCAAAGAAAAAACCTAGTGATCAACATAGCAGCGGATTTCGGAATTGTATATCAAACGTGTCGACTGAAAGCTATCATGCCGGGGAAAATAGCTGAAGAATACGAAGCAAGGAAGGAAGAAAGAGCGCAAGGTTATACTCAATTGAGCACGGGAAGTCTGGTGCTGAGAGAAGCAGAGTCTCCGGTCGACAACCCACGAACAGAGGAAACAAGGGACAGTGAAGAGGCACGCTAAACTAGTTGTGCGTTGAGACTTGAGACTTGAGACTTGAGAGAAAGCGAAAAAAGCGTCAGTTTCCAAGTCTAAGTCTGGTTTGTCCCATTGCATCGATCGTAACTCACGGTTAAGGATGCCTCGTTCCTCTAACTATACATCAGCAGCCAAATGGCTGGACCAAAATAGCATTAATAACGACAATCTTTCCGTCGGAGTAAGGCTGTTAATGAGTCGAGCTATTCACGAGCGGCTCGGTATTAAACTCGATAAAAGCTCGTTAGATTAAAAAAAAAGTTTGGCTAAACGAGCCGAGCTTGAGCTTTACTTTGTTCGGCTCGTGAAGCTCGTGAACTAGCACGATTAAGTGGCTTGTAGAATACAACTCATGAACTATCTCGTTTTGAGCTTATTAGGTGTCCCAACATTGTAACTAGAGAGCCAAGTCGACTACAGTTTAGGAGAAGATCAATCTATATTTTATGAGTTGGTTTTTTAATGATGCATATAATTATTAAATTGTATATATCACCTCATATGGTGTTTAAATTTTAATACATTGAGTATATATAAAGCAAATATGTTTCATACATGACATAACATTAGGTAATCACATGTATCACATATGACATATAAATATTAGGGTATTTATATTATAAATTATCTTAGAGTTGAGCTCGAGCCGAACTTTCGATCTTAATAATGTGTCAAGATTTAATAAATGAGTTGGCTCGTGTTCGACTCGACTCGGTTCATTTATAAATGAATCCAGCTCAGCTCGTTTATAAACGAGCCGACATGAACAAGGCAAAGCTCGACTCGGCTCATTAACAGCCCTAGTCAGGAGGTGCTAAAAGCATTTTTTATTTATTTTTCACCTGTTTTTTTTTTAATTTGTATCATTTTATTAGTGGCTCAATGTGTTTGGATTACAATCAGCCTTGGAGGATAGAAATAAAAAAGATAGGTGGTTTAGTGGACCAGATTTCCTCTTCCTCCCAATGACAGAGAGTATGAGCCATTAAATGGGTCACTTTGTTTGCACCCCATCCCGCAAAATGAAAATGAAGCCCGGTGACTTCCTCCGCCTTGGCCCGTATTTCTCTACACACTTCCACAATTTCCGAATCATCTCCATCCTCCTTTTGCATTCCCTCAATTACCACCAGACAGTCTGACTCAACTACAGTAGGGAGGAAATGATACCTTCGAGCAACTTCCATTCCAAATCTCACCGCCTCTCCCTCTGCAAATTCCGGCCTCTATGGTCTTCTCGTTCGCCTCACCCCAGCCAAACAGAAAGCCAAATAAGGGGATCATTATTTTTCACTTGGACAAAAATCCATGATGACACTAAATCCATCAAACAAACAAGCCCTAAGTTTGAAGCCAAATAAAGGGATCATGGTTGTCAACCCCGGTATAACAGGGTTTTTATCAGCAACATATATTCAGTTCACACAACATAAGCGTTCTTACATTTCCTCTTTCGTCTTGACCTTCACAATGGAGAAGCCTCTCATGGTTATGTAGTTGACAATTTTGTATTCAATTCACCATTTCAATCAATCCACTACAACATCGAATTAATAAAATCTATTTAAATCCAATCCAATTGAATTGGTGGGTTCATATTTCATTTGTTGTTGACAAACTACAGTTTATTACCTCATTGGAAAATTGCGTTGGTACCTAAATTTCTTGTTTAACATTTTGGTACCTCAACTTTTTCATATTGATTCATTGTTTAGATGCCACATAAAATCATGAAACCAATCCATCAATTAATTTGATCCAATCAATAAATCTATCAATCCATTTAATCCAAATCCAAAAATTATAATCTATCAATACAATCCATTTACCACGTCGATATACGCATCATACGATTCTATGTAATGGGTTGCGTGCGTCAACGTGTTAAAAATGGTTCTTCTATTAGAGTATGTTTCGAAGGGGCATCTAAACCCCAAAAGGATGGGATGGCTTGCTAACCATCTGCCCCGTTAGTACCGTCCTAATCCAGCTAAGCGACTGCGTTTTCAAATTCATCAAAAAAGGGGTGTTTAATTGTCAGGGGCATTTTTGTAATTTGGGTTTTATTAGATGATGCAGGTCGTGATATCAGTCGGTTGAAACGGGGTCGATTTTTGTGGTGGGAGATATCCCAACAGTCAAGCCAAGTAAAAATTTTATTCTTCCCTCTACCCATCGGAAGAGTAGAAGCCCAGCCGATTTCCACAACCCTTTGTCAGTGACCTTTGTTGGGACTGGGTTCGCCTGCTTTTCCCGCGGCGTCGCCACCCTCAATGCCCAGCAGTTCTTCCCGTCGGTGAACTTTCCCCTTGCTTTGCCCGCCACGCCGCCGCCCTCAACGCTCCAGCTCAGTCGATTCCCGCAGCCCTTCGCGTCGGTGAACTTTCCCTCGTCGGTGGCCTTCGTCGGAACTAGGTTCGCCTGCTCTGCCCTCGACGTCGCTGCCCTCAACGCCTCTGACCTTGTCGTCGTCGTCAGCCCCGTCGACAAGCTCGCATCAGGTAGTTTTTAATTTGATCAATCGTCGATCCATTTTGTAATCGGCGACATTGCATGCCGCCAGCTCTTGAACTTTTTGTTGGCGTTTGCATAGTTTGTTCAAGATCTGCATTTGAGGGCGGTTGAGTGTAGGATTTCTGGATTCGGAATCTATTTTTTGTTTATTGGAGTCGGATGCAGTTGTTTTTGGTCTCCGCCAATGCTTAATTTGTAGACTTGACTTCTTTTTGTTGATGCGGTAACCATTTCACTAAGACTAGCTTTGGTTAACAGTAGTAGTGTTTTGCAGTAAATTAGAATTTTGTAGTCGTCCTTTTTTGCTTTGTTAGTTTAATGTCATAGCAATTTTGTTTACACTTTTATTGTTTTAAAAGGTGGAAGTAGAAGTGATTGTTTTCATTATTGTTTTTGTTTGTAGTTGTGGACTCATGAAATCATAAGGAGTGCAAGAGAAGATATTAC